GGCCGCCGCCTGTGGCTGCCGTACGATCTGTTGTTATATAACACAGAGACAGTTGATCCACAGACTCAGCAGCAGCTGTCGTTGTACCAGTGTGTGTGTGTGTGTGTGTGTGTGTGTGTGTGTGTGTGTTGAAGTTTGTTGTTTGTCAAAGATTCAACTGAATCACATTTGAACAGAAGTGTTCCCATTGGTGGACGTTTGGATCAATCCCAGATTACAGAGGTCAGCAGCTCCACTCAGTACCAGGGTCACGGTCCACTGTACCAGGGTCACGGTCCACTGTACCAGGGTCACGGTCCACTGTACCAGGGTCACAGTTGGTCCTTCAACCTGGAACGTTCTTCATCATGAGAAAAAAACCAGTGATAAAAATGTGAGATTGTGTCTTTGTAGAGCGTGAAGTCGACCTCTGTCACCTCCTGCTGGAACGTCTGGAACATGGTACAGTGAGTCACACACACACACACAGACACACACACAGACACACACTTCCCTCCACTGATGCGGTGTTGACCTGTGCAGCGTCCAGAGGGTACAGAAGAAGACCAGCACCATGTCTCTGACCATCTCCTCCTGCTCCTCGACTGCGTCCTCCTCTCGAGATCATTTCTCCTGCTCCCCCTCGTCTTCCTCCTCCTCGTCCTCAAACCTCCTCACTCAGAAACACTCCAGCCTGGTGCAGCCCCTGTGTGTCAGTCCTCAGAGGGTAGGCACCTCCTTCTACCACAGACCTCCAGCAGGTCTACCTTCACACTCACTAAGTCATCAGTCTGTCTGTCTGTTGTGTCCAGACTCAGAGTCCTGTCTACACTCAGCCTGCAGGGGGCGGTGTGGCTCCAACATTCGTCAAGGTAAAATCATTTGACCTTTTTCAAACCGACTTCTAACTTCTACTAAATCTTTCACTCTGTTCATCCTAAAGTTTTGTCCGTTCTTGCTCTAGTCGTGGTCGAACCTTCTGATGAACGAGAGAGAAATCATGAAATCATGAAATCATGAAATCATGAAATCATGAAATCATGAAATCATGAAATCTGTGGCTACAGATCAGTGATTGTGTAAAAGCTGCAGAAAAATCCACTCACTTCAAATTAACAAAACCCAAACGTTCTGCATGGTATAAAGTAAGACGTCTGCTCTCTGTGGTCCAGTCTCTGTGGGTATGTGGTCCACGTGGACCACGTCTGCATTGGTAGACAATCTATTCACCACAGATCTATTCACCACAGATCTATTCACCACAGATCTATTCACAGCAGATTTATTCACAGCAGATCTATTCAATAGATCTATTCACAACAGATCTATTCACCACAGATCTATTCACAGCAGATTTATTCACAGCAGATCTATTCAATAGATCTATTCACAACAGATCTATTCACAGCAGATCTATTCACCACAGATCTATTCACCGCAGATCTATTCACCGCAGATCTATTCACCACAGATCTATTCACAGCATTAACAGCTCTTTCTTCTAGTCTTTTATTCTAACTCAGACTAACTGTTTAACTAAACTGTTTTGACTGACGCAGTATCTTGTTCACTCTGAATACTTCCTTAAATACTACTTATTTACTAACCTTGTTTTTGTTTTTGTTTGTTTGTGTTTTTGTGTTGTTTTCTGTTCTGACCTTGAACTATTTTTCTCCCTCTTTTCTCGCCCGTCCGTACCGTCTCCATCCTGTCCTGTGTGACATCATCACCACCTAGTGTCTGCACGATGTGACAACACTGAAGGGTCAGCTGGTGGTCTTGGAGTGCAGACTGAGGGGCCCCCCACCTCTGCAGGTCATGTGGTACAGAGAGGAGGAGAAAATACTGGACTCAGACGATTTCAGGATTCTCCGCAAGAGTGAGTGTGTGTTTATGGGACGGAAAGGTTGGAAATGTCGGATTAGAGCGGAGCGTCACCTCGGAGGTATCACTGTGACCAGTGAGCCTGAGTCACACAGTCACTAAAACTTTTCTCTCTGTTTCCCAGAGGCCAGTTCTGCCCCAGTGCCAGGTACAGTAACACGTCACTGTGATTTATCACCTGAACAAAAACCTGTCGTTTCTCCATGTAATCTGAAACAACAGGCAGAGAAATGAACTGTAATCTGAAACAACAGGCAGAGAAATAAACAGCACTCAGGTTGATAGAGATTTAGACGGTTCATAATGATGATGTCCTCACTTGACCTCACTTGACCTCACTTGACCTCACTTGACCTCACTGACCTCTGTAGAGGAGCTGTGTACCCTGGTGATCACTGAGGCTTTTCCAGAAGATTCCGGCCTGTTCAAATGTGTGGCTATCAACCCCTTTGGTACAGTGTCGTGCTGTGCTGCCCTGGAGGTTTACCACGGTGAGAGCGCCACCTACAGCCGTCCATATGAAATGAAACGTTATCAAATCATTGTTTTGATGACTTTTATTCAAGGAGCTATCACAAAAAAGGCATAGAAAAATGAAAGTCTGCCCCTGGTGTACAGACATGGAAGAGCAGTTGGAGATGGAGGCTGTTCATCAGCAAAAAATGGTTTCTGCCCAAGAAGACGTGGAGGACATGTTCCATCCAGGCACCTCCGGCAGACAGAGCTGCGAGGACTCGCCCCCCCCGTTCTCTGACTCCATGAACCCGGATCCTCCTGATTGGCCTGACGTGTGCGTGGACGACGACGTCACTGCTGCCGTGTAGGTTCACGTCCTTCTTACATTTCAGTAGTTTAGGTTTATCTCCAGGAGATGTCGCTGTCACGTTTTCCAACACTAATCGAAATGCCTACACTTTGTTTGTTTGTTTGTTTGTTTGTTTGTTTGTTTGTTCAAAAATCACACCGAGATGACTGACCACCCAACTGACGACAGTAACAAGACTTAGCCAATCAGAGCAAAGTGGGCGGGTCCTACATGACTGCCTCCTGCTGACGACCAGTAACGCGTCCTAAACAAGCGAGAAATTAAAAAAAAATAAAAACTTGCGACATTTTCCAGAGAATTGTTCCTAACGAGACATAAAAACGACTTAGTATCAATAAAAAAAATAAAAACTCCGCTGTGCGCGCCCTTGTGAATCAGCGTTGTTGTTTGTGAACGCGCGCTGTCACCTGTAGTCCTCCCCCCCTCCCCCTCCCCC